AAACCAGACTCCACCGTTCTGAGTGTTTGCTGCGTGAGAAACCAGACTCCACCGTTCTGAGTGTTTGCTGCGTGAGAAACCAGACTCCACCGTTCTGAGTGTTTGCTGCGTGAGAAACCAGACACCACCGTTCTGAGTGTTTGTGCTTGAGAGACCAGACTCCACCGTTGTGAGTGTTTGCTTCTTGAGAGACCAGACTCCACCGTTCTGAGTGTTTGCTGCTTGAGAGACCAGACTCCACAGTTGTGTGTGTTAGCTGCTTGAGAGACCAGACACCACCGTTGTGTGTGTTAGCTGCTTGATCATTTGGAAGGTTCACCTCCAGGATGTCCTTACAGTGTTGAAAGGGGCTTATAACTCGTAAAACTTTAATGGGACTATAGGCAGATGGACTCTGAGGTGGATCTTGAGGAGAAAGGGAGGAGCATTACCGATTTCCTTAACTGTAGAAGTCTCCAAGATTGCCAACTTTTTAGTTAGTTCTGATGTGAGGGTTGCCGACTCTGGGTTTCTGTGGGTGTGATGATGACAATGTTTCTTGAATTTGATACTGACTTGCTTATAGTCCTAAAAGTTGTGCCAGATGGTAGCGTCGTCTCTCGTCATATATACCTGAGACAGTGAGGAGGCAGCCACACCTGTGATGGGCTTGAGTTCCAATCCCCTATTGGGGGGTATATTGTTAAAGGGAATCAGAGAGCACACCGACATTTTTATACGTTTTCTCAAACTTATTTGATCTTGTTAATTGTACAGCCAAAGTTTGAACATGATTGCATTTACTTTTGTAAGATTTTGTTACATATAAATGTAGGGGATTGTTTCTATTTATTATTGTGAAGTTGACTCAAGACAAAGCTATCTGTCCGTAGACACATATTATAACAAGGCTGTCTTACATCCATAGACAAATACAGGGCTATACCCATTTGTAGCTAGTGAGGCATTTAAATTCATACAAAGACGAAGGAAAGAAACCACGGAGGCATATTGATTATATTCCCCTTAGCTTGCGACTGTTCTCAGAATGGAAGTTTGTCTTACAAAGACGAAGGAAAGATACCACGGAGGCATATATATTCCCCTTGGCTTGTGACTGTTCTCAGAATGGAAGTACATTTTGCTGAAAGATTTTAAAAAACACCCATTATCCCTGTTCTACCTCTGTGATGATGTAAACTATCAGGGGCGACTGTGAATGTTGATACAAGGTACTGTCTGTCAGCTGTTGCCGAGTTCTTTGATTTTGCCTGTTTTGTCAGCTCAATACAGAGTTTGATATTGTCCAAAAATCAGGGGACAGGACTGTTTTATAGGTGTGTTCAGACTGGGGTTGTTTTTTTTAGCTCAAAATTGTTAAGTGTAGGGCCTACATAAACTTTCAGAAAGTATACTCTATTTCAATCAGGGGATTACAATCCAGTTGGTATGTCTACAGTTTTATTGACGAGTTTATCAGTTATAACAATAGAAATGTGTGCAATATGTTGTATTATGTATACCTAGGATTGGTTTGGGTTTGGGTTTTTTTTTGGGGGGGGTGGATTTACCTATTTTTAGGGGAAAAGATCTCATACGATGCAGTATAAGCTCCGTCTATTTGCATTACCACCGGTTTACTTCATATTTGTAGCTTTAAAACATCGCATGAGAGGGGGGGGGGGTCACAAGTTGAGTGCTTTTTTCCCCCTGGTGCAGATTGTCTGCGTCGCTCCTTCCCAACCTTCAGCGACAGCTGGTGCAGATTGTCTGCGTCGCTCCTTCCCAACCTTCAGCGACAGTGAGATTCATTCATTCATAACATAGTGATGGTTAACTGGTGGACTGCCCCTCACCAAAGCGTGATAATCAGACAGACAGAGATATGGTCGCTTTTAAGCACGAGGGGGCTATCCTGAAAAATGATGTTTTGAGAAAATCGAAGGTAAAGATTTTGCCCCTTGCTCAGTTTCTGTAAAAGACAAGGAGAGTTTTCTCTATAACCAAGCAAATATACACACCAATGAAACCAAACTTTTCCTATAGGTATGGCAATGCCTACTTTTGGTGTGGGTCAAGATTTCTGGAAACCCCCGAAATCTGGGTTAGCCTGCTTGTCCTTAAAAGCGACCAATTAAAGTTAGCACGAGACAACACACAGCTAGTGATGTGCAGGTTTTCTTTTCATGCTGTGTTGTGATAGCTGTCTGATGGTCCTCTTGGACAGGGTCTTTACCATGGGTCTCAATATTCCGCTATTTAGCAGATTTCCGCTACTGCCATTTCCTCCGCTAAACCGCCACTTTCTGTACATAGTCAAGATTGTAGATATTTGATAAGTGACTCGTTTACTTTGAAGTTAATCTTCCAAACTCTCAAACTGGTATGAAATAACCTTGCTTTGATAAGTTGGTGGTTTTTATTTATCCTTCAAGGGTTCAACAGTATAATAATAATGGGTGTCTGGCGAAAATGGTCTTCTGTCGCGATCACACGGAAAGTTCTTACTTTTTCAAAATTCTGAGACGAGACCCATGCTTTACAATACAGAAAAAAACAAATCAAGGGGCGGAAGTGAGAATAGTGGTTTGGGCAGATGGAGGAAGTGAGAATAGTGGTTTGGGCTGATGGAAGTGAGAATAGTGGTTTGGGCTGATGGAGGAAGTGAGAATAGTGGTTTGGGCTGATGGTAGTGAGAATAGTGGTTTGGGCTGATGGAAGTGAGAATAGTGGTTTGGGCTGATGGAGGTGAGAATAGTGGTTGGGGCAGATGATTGTCTTGGGCAGGCGGCCGTTGGAGCAGGCTCTACTGTATACGTAGCTTT